TCTTGTATAAAACAGCTGATAATACCTGTCCCCACAGATCTGCCCTGGGGATTAAATGAAAGCATTCGTACCGTGCTTAGCACATTGCTCTCGATTAGTGGTAGTTGTCAATCATTCCATTTCCCATAATAACATAAAATGAGAAAAAAACTTCAAGAATGAAGATACCCTGGTATTTTCTGGAAGGAATCTAATGATCCAATATACAAGGTCAAGGTTAGGTAGACCACATACAGCCCCATGATAGGATCTTCTGTGGTCATTCTTGATGTATACTACAAAGACATGGGGTGGGGACAGAATACATATGATCCAATACTGCAAGGAAGTTGCAGCTCTGTAAGATATACATAGGAAACTGATTGGAAGGGAATGTACAGAAATGCTAATGAGTACTTGAATTAAAGTAGTGAGATTCAGTGAACTTGTCTCTTTTCCTTACCTTCCAAATCATCTATTAGGCTACTAGATCAATTTTACAAACAAAAAAGATTATCCAAAGAGCAGAGTTTGGATGGATCTGACCAGAGAGAGGGGTGAGCAAGACAATGGCTCATGGGCCACTGGTGGCTCTATCTGGACTATTCTTACTTAGCACAGTGAAATCTCAGGCCCCTTTTGGGAATCGAGGATGTCCTGTCTCACCTGTTAGGGGACAAAAGAGTTCTGGCTTTGTATGTGATCAGAGCTGGGCTCATCTCAGACATTCCAGTGACTGCAAGCCCTTTAATTATTGCCTAAGAAGACACTCGACACCTCTCAGTCACTCTTAAGATGAAACAAGTTGGTTCTGGTTCTGCATGTGATTCTCTCCTTCTGTAGCTCCAGCAACTCTGGCTCCCAATGGCGCCTCTAAGCAGACACTTGGTGGATGCTGGTTGAGTGGTAGAGGGAGACATTTGGGAATTCCCAAGGCCACTCTCTGCCTTTGGTCTTAGTCTACACAATGTGCAGGTCTGAGAGGGGGGGAAGCAGTCCTGAGCCAATGCTGTTAGTCTCTTGCTAGTCCCTGGATAGTATAAATGGTGGTTAACCAAAGGGTTGGACGTTGAGTCTGGATCAGAGGCATCTTGGGAAAAGGCTTGGCAACCTACTTCTGAAGAACCAGCCATTCAAAACCCTTTGGAGCAGAGTTCTACTATGACACACAAGGGGCAACCAGGAACTGGAGTTGACACATGACATCTGGCTTTCGTTGTCTTTTCCTAAGCATCAAATTGGAAGGGGAATTCCCCTCTATCAGGCCTGAAAAAAGGAGAATAACTTGGGGCCTGGAGACCATGTACACTACAGCTAAAAGCCACCATGCTGGCAGCCGTAACCACACCACACCCATGGCAGGCAGTCACTGTCCTCAGCACTCAGAGACACACAAAACCCTAAGTAGGTTCTTAACAATACCACCTGGAGGGTGAAGCAGAGGCCTCTGGCATCACACAGTTGGGTTCAGAGCTGATTCCACCATTTTCTAATGTTGAGACCTTGGGTACGTTAATGCAAGTCTTTCTCTGAGCCTCAGTTTCTCCATCTGTTAGATGGGAAAGCCAATGACTTTCCCAAACTCACTGAGAGGAAATCAAAGGGCATTTCAGAGCTGTTCAGTAAATGCCACTCCTCTTTCCTTCCCCAGGTACCAGGTATTCTGGCACCAGTGTAGGCTGCTTCTTTGGCAGAAAGAGGTCAGAACAGCTCTGGCTCCCAGCTCCAAGGAACCAGAGGGCATGGGTGGGATGCTTGGCAAGTCACCTGAGGAGATGGAGATGCCTCTGGGCAACGCCAGTTAGAGTGGACCCCAGGGCCCCTGTGATACAGAGAGAATGCAAATTAAGTAGAATGCTAAATCCTGGCCCTGCCACTTTCTGAGTGACGCGGGGGACATTGATCAAGTACATTTTCTGAACCCAAGTTCCCACTCGGTGGAAGGAAACAAATACCAACTTCAGTGGTGTTCAATGAACTTCCCATGTACTGGCCTCTGACCTGCAGCCCCTTGGCCTGATCCCTTCTAACCCTAACTCTTACTGGAGGGAATTCCCCAGGCATTCCATCACCCTGTTCTGAATAACAATGGGAATTGCTAATACTTCTAGAAGAGAAATATTAACAAAATACTAATCAGCTAATGTTACCTGTAAATCAGTGGCCATGTTTCCGCAGAAATCTTTCTGGTGTGTTCTTCCAATTGCAGTCAAATGGTTTTAAGGGGCTAGAAAATCTACTCTGATTCAAGAAGAGAAATGTTGTTAAGTGCTGAGTTGGCTTGGACTCATAGTGACCCTTTTATAAGGTTTCCAAGGAGTGTCTGGTGGGTTTGAACCACCACCTTTCTGTTATTAGTCCAGTGCTTATCCTACAGTGACACATCAAGAAGTGAGAATGACATGGGAAAATTTCAGTTTGGCAAGTTGCAAGTCAACAACAGATTCAGCACAAGGACTTCCTTTAAAAATTCTAGGTCCCTCACACTTAAAAAATTTCCAAAGGTATTTGCTGAATTAATGGATGCTTGGATAGATGGACAGATGGATCAATGGATACATGCCTATCAGCTGGAAAGGAAGAAAGGAACTTCAATGGATGGATTGGTTGGAGAGCCAAAGGCTGGTGCCACGGGGTCTTAAGGAGTCCCTGAATGCTGAGCTGCTGCTGGAGACTGTGGAAACCGTCTTATTCTTGATCAGTTCTGTCTTGCTGCCCACAAGTTAATTACCTGATGTGTTATTTGGAAGTGAGAGCTGGAGCAAGAAGTCAGGAGGACTGAATCTCTCTCCTCAAGTTCAAAGATCTTGCATCTATTTCTGTCACCCAAATTCAATGCCCCTGGGTATTACTGGTAGAGACAGAGATCCGTAATTCCAGAAAACTCAGGTTAGATTAACAAGTCCATGTTCCTAGCCTGGAAACACTCCCAACAAAGGCCCATTAGGAACTGGTTCTTGCCTGCCAGCTTGTCTTCTCGAGTCTCCCAACACAATGCCGACAGATTGGTGGAGCTTGGTTCTTTCCTCCTCAGAACAATATTTTATGAGGAGCCTGTTTTATTAAAATATTTTCCGCTGGATGCTTCCTGTGTTTCAAGAAGTTGGTCTTGCCAGCTGGAGCTGATGACAGTTGAGAAAAACACATTCAAGTGCTGTTGTGACATGGCATTTGGAAGTGGAAGAGCACGGTAGGGGGGTGGGAGGGGGCAGCTTGGGAAGAGATGCAGGAAAATACTCGTGTTACACCAGAAATGTCTCTGGCATTATGGGAGAACAGCATTCTGTCTACATCATTAAAAAAAAAAAAAAAAAAAGTGACGAGGAAAGAAACCCTCGGAATGACGTCCTGACATGAACTCCATCTAATCGTGGGCCAGACCCTCAGTAAGGCAGAATCACAGATAACCTGTCATTTGTTTTCTATCATGCCTGTTTGCCAACCCAGCAAAGTAGCCACCCTGCTCCCTCCCTCTAGCTTATTTTTTCAACCCCAGAGTTGTCATGAATCAAAATAAAACACAAGGCATATGTTGCAAAAAGCAAAAACAAAAAAACACAACTAAAAGTAATATTAACATAGTTCAGACTATTCCCAGGATACTGGGCTCTCCGACACACAACAGTCATCTCCAAGCACTGAGTTTGAACAAACAACAGCATAAACATGAAAGCCCAACCTCTCAATGGGAACCTGGCTACAAAATGGGTCATGCTTTTCTGTAGAATGTGGAGTGCTGCTTGTCTGGGGTATTTTTGTGCAATGCAGGAAAATGTCTACAGGCCCATGACCCTGCATCCCAGTTTGGTGTCAAAAGAATTTGACCCAGTTTTAAAGAGGTGAATTTAAAGAAAAGTGACTAAGTTCCAAGTCACTCTAAGATCTCTTAATAGTCACTGTAAGGAGAAATCTTTAGGGTCTGTGGAATGCTGAAACTCTGCAGCATTTTCTCCACAAGGGGGCAGTCATAATCCATGCCAATCTTGGCTAGGGGTAATAGCTCTCAACACTTCCTCCATCCTATTGTACAGAGCAAAAGTTAAACCTACATCAACTCCAGGCAGCACTCTTTTCCTGATTCTGCATAACCAAGCACCCCTGACACACGCATAAAGTGTTCTCAGCAAGGTCTGAGGGGCTGGCTGTATGAAGACAGCACTCTCAAGCAGTACTATGCTATAAAGTAGAGATTCCTGGGAAAGCTGAAGTATATCACAACCATGGTTAGACCACAACGATGTCACATTTCAGACTCATTTCTTTCTTTTCTGGCTGGGACCTGCCACCTCCCTTAACTGCTTTCCCTAAGAATTTTCTCTGTTGGAAGAAGCACCACTTTCTCCAGATTGGCCTTAGAGTTGGGTTGCTCTGTGTGTCTTTAACCCTTACTCCATTCAGGCAGATCAGCTTCTGGCCACTGCTTACGTGCTACCTCATTCACATATTTCATCTCTCCAACATCTACTCAGCAGTTTACTCTAAACTGGGTCCTATACTCAGTATTTGACATAAAACCCAGTGCCTGCCCTTGAGGCTTCTAAGTCTGAGGAAGGAAAATCAGAAAAACAAGAATAGCTAAGTAAAGGCACAGGAGAGCAAAGGGTACTGATCAGGTGGAATGGCAAATAAGGATGGTCCTGTGGATAAGGAAATCTGAGCAGCAGAGATCTTGGGCATCAGAAGGCCCAGGAAAGTGGTGACTCTCCTTAAATAGGTTTCCTTTTTGACAAAGTTCATAGCTTTCTTCTGCTGACTATACCTTCTTCTTTGGAGTCTGTCCAAGACCCCTTTGGGTCTCACTACTCAAACCCTGCCAGGCCCGGCTCCCTGGCCTAGTGCTGGTGTGACCACTGCAAGTAGTGGAAGCCAGTCCTGTTCCCTGAATGACCTCTTTGTGAAATGGCCACTCTGGGCTCCATGGAAGCCTTTCAGAGGTCAGGGTTCCACACTTGGCCTTCACAAAGCACTGGCCCCATGGGTTCTCCATGCAGACAGAGGCAGGGGGGCAAGGCAGTACTCACTGCTCAGGGCTCGGGACAGATGTCCTCCGGCCTTCCACTGTGATGTTGCTCTTCGGTCTCTTAACGACATGTGGACGGGGAGGGCGGACCTGCAGGGGAGACAAGGAAAGTCCCAAGAAGGAGTGAACTGGAAATGTTGTCTCAAAACATCCTGAAGATTTGAATGTTGTTGTTGTTAAGTGCTGTTGAGTCGGTTCCGACCTATAGCGACCCTGAATGGGATTTCCGAGGCTGTAAATCTTTATGGGAGCAGAAAGCCTCATGTTTCTCCCGCAGAGCAGCTGGTAGTTTCGTACTGCTGACCCGATTCGTAACCACTACGAATCGCAGCCCGATTCGTAACCACTACGCTACCAGATTTGAATAAGTCACCCTAAAAGAGACGTTTAGGGATTTTCAAGACATGGGCTACAAGATCCCCATTTATTATGGAAATACTTCCACTTAATTTTCAGCCTAAACTGGAACTCAGTCGAGGTCCATTCATATAGGAGACGTTGTCTAAGGAGGTTGGTTTCCTCATCTACAGTATGGGGAGAGTTCCATGGGCCTCTTTGCTGTGAGGATTCATCGAGCTGTGTCTACATAGGGCCTGGAACAGAGGCCCTCATTAATGATTAATTCCCTCTGCCTTGTTCTGGAACCCAGACACAGGTATTAGAGTACAAAAAGGTTTCACTCGGATTTTATTTTTAGAGTTCATTCCCGTGCTTATTTTGCTCACTGTATGACTGAATTGCAGAATGCCTATTTTCCTCTCTAGATGGGGAAGAAACAAATAAAAGAGTATTATTTAGAAAACCATCTTTCTGTGCTCTAGTCCTCCTGAGCAGGCCTTGGCTTGGACACTGTGGCCACATTCAGCAGCACAGATCTGTATCAGGAACTTGGTGGGCATATTTGAAAAGGAAATAAATAAACAGCTTCCTAAGCTCACAGCCTAGGTTGCAATGACAAGATTTTTTTCTTTTCTTCTTTTGTCTTTCCCCTGGCCTGATACCTGTTAAAGCTGATATGGGGGTCCACAGTAAGAGACACCTTCCCTTCCCCATCAAAGCTGGCAATGTGGGTTAGCCTAAGAATTTCCTGGGGTTTTAGAAGGATACTCATCTTGTCCAATCAATATAGTTGTTGTTGTTAGGTACTGTCAAGTTCAGTTCTGACTCATAGCGACACTGTATAGGGTTGCCAAAGAGCAGCTGGTGAGTTTGAATTGCTGACTGTGTGGTTCAGACTGACCTTGCAGTCCAGTGCATTAGCCCACATGACTTTAAATTTGGTACCATTATCTTCTAACAGTTTCAGGTCCACAGAGGGGATGAGGAAAGCAGAACCACAGAAAGTTTATCTGTGAATTCCATCGCTAATAAAAATGGCCTAAACATCCCAGTGGAGTCCTGATGTGGCGCTGTAGGATAAACAATGGACTGCAAGCCGGTTTGAACCACAAGGTCAGCAGTTCAAAGTCATCAGGCGCTCCTCAGAAACCCTATAGGTCACTCACTATGAGTCGGAACTGACTTGATGTCACTTCACAACAACAACAAGAAGCCTCCCAGTGTACCAAGGGGACGTGTTTCTCTCTGCAGATGAGGGACCAAGATAGGAAGTACCATCATTGCTGGTACAGGGCTGGTATGGATGGAGAGAACACATCCATATTGTCCTGCCTGCTTTCATACCTGAACATTCCCTTCCCCACTGATGTGTGGGTGACAGCACAATGGCTTAGGAACCCAGATTGCAGAAGTTGGCAACATGAAAGGCCTTTCTAGAGTCTCATCAAGTGCTCAGGCCTCCACGTGTCTGACAGAACCACAGTTTTTCCTTTGGAGTGGGCAATCTGATCTCAGGCTTGTTTGGCAAATCAAAGTTGGGGTAAAAGCCAAGTGCATTTGACCATCAAGCTCATGGTTGTCTTTTATGCCGTCATTGTGAAGATGCAGGGGCTCAATCCATGCTCATCCTGCTTCTCTTTGACCTACATGTCCCTTTCAAATCAACAACACAAGGAAGACCTTTGGGTGGGTGGGTTGGGGTAGAAGTAGGATCTCTGAATTAGAAGAAGATGACCTTATGTTGGCTTAGCTCCAAACACAATGCCTGGTATACAGTGGCCGTGCAGTAAGATTTTGAAAAAGCAAATGAATTTGGCTGCTTGGAATCTAAGAAGCACAAGATAAATGCTACTATTATTATCATTGTTATTGAAATAGTACCTGCCACGCAGCAGACATTCAGTCAACATTTGCTGAATAAATGAGTAGACGAATGGGTATTTCTCCGATCCATTCCAGTTCGGAACAGGTTTCCCATGCCAGAACCAGAATCCTCTGGCAGCTTAGTAAACACAATCATTCCAGCCATTCACCACACAAGCAGAGTGCAGGTGGGAGGATGGAGCTGTCTGGCCCTGGCCCTGCCCTGGGAGGCCCTGCTGGGATTTCAGGGAAAGTCAGACATGACGGTCTGTCAGCCTGTCCCTGCACAAGGCTGTTCCTTGCTACAATAAAGGCGGGTTAAGAATGTGAACTTGTGGCTGAAATGGGGGGATTAAGTTTGTGGCAACTTCGACTGAACTTGCAACGTGGTGAAACATGGGGAAAAAGAACAACAGAGCTAATTAGACGAGCTGAGCTGTCAGAGTGCCGCTGAATGGCTCAGCGCCAACAAACAAAAGGAATGGGTTGGCAATCAGCAGGATCGATGGAGGAGACTGCTTCATTAGGGGCTGATAAAACAGACCGAGCTGGAGAAAAAGGGGGAGGGGAGGCAGGGAGGGAACTGGAGCTGGAGCTGGAGCAGGCGGGCGAGGGAGAGAAAGACACCCAGAATCACTCTCACCTGATTGGTGTGGCTGGAGCCAGATACAAAATTACACTCACAGACAACCACCCGAACCATGCGCAGAGCCACGGAAATATCTACATACACACGACATCACAAACACACACAGAGGAACCTGCAGAGGAGACACACACACACACACACACATACACGTGGCCTCTGATGAACAGCCAGAACCACAGCCAGGCACTGACACACGCAGCCAAAATGGTTTAATTAAACCCAAATCACAAGATGATGCCAACAAGCAGCCCATCATATTTCAGTGATCACATTCATCTTTCTGGGGTACTTAGGGAGGGTGGGGGCTGGGGACGAGTACGTGTGCACATGCACACACATGCGTGTACACACACATACCAGCAACTGGCCCCACCATCACTAGGGAAGAAAATGCTAACCAGGGATTTAGAGCTCTGTTCAAGGGAAACTTGAGGGGAAAGTTGGGAAACCAGCCAATTCCCCACTGGATTTAAAACCTGAGAAATCTAAGTTGGCAGGGTTAAATGTGTATTGAATACAAAAGCACCAACCACATTTGATTTTAATGGTGAGCAAGAAATAATAAATACAGAGCTTATAAAGTGCTTCACATGCAGGCCGACCGCAGCCTGGCTCTCCCCCGTGTGCCCCAGTCACATCCTCTTAGTACGTGAGACACTAGTGATACTTTCTTCTACTCTTTCCTTTTTCTTTCTTTTTTTTTAAAAAAGTTAAATCCCAATTCTCTGCCCACATCTGAACTCTAGCCACAGGTGCTGGGCTACAAAGCTGCGGCCAGAAAGACTGAATGGCAGGCTCTCTGATATCCCTGAACACTCCAGGCCACTTCAGCCCAGAAGGCTTTCAGCTAAGTGATCCAGCAAAACCCAGTTGGGCTCCTGGCTCCTAACATGGAAGCTTGCTGGTCTGTCCTCTTTGAAGTCCTTAGGAGGTTCTGTACCCAGTTCCTCTCAGGTTCACACCAAGCATGCAGTGGCACCCACTGGAAAAGCTTGCATGAATGCACTCTGAGTGAACAGCCCCTAGGGACCAGGGAATACAGGACCCCAGAACGCACTACTTTCTAGCACTTTCAAACCAGTCCCTTAGTGGCCCTGCTTGGTACAAGTCAGTTGAGGGGTATATATGTGCCTGTTTCATGCCAGGGACAACACTAGGCACTATACTTACCTGGTCTCATTATTCTCATCAAGTGATAAAATGAACCCATTTTATGGAAGATGAAACTAAGGCTCAGAGAAGATGTCTTCAAGACCACACAGTCAGGAAGTAGCTAAGCTGGGATTCAACCAGGCTGGACCTGTCTGACTTCCATGCCCAGGAGAGCTAGTCCTAGACATATGACCTCCTTTCACGTGCCATAAACCAAGGGAGGTACAGTTCAGAGTACCTCCATCAGAGAGCAGTAGCTGAGGCAGCTGCAACTAAGTGTTTCCTTGTGGCAACGTTTCCTGTCCCAAGTCGTCAGGGGCCACGGATGTGGCTAGACACACATTCCTCTTCATGAGTCCCCACACTGGTGAGAATACACTGAGTGAGTCCCAATGTCTGTCTTCAAGACTCAATTTGATCTAAGGAGAGCAATCCTGCCCTGAATCATGCTTTCCAAGAGAATCCCTGGGTGCCTCAGATCCTAGGTCTTTAAAAGGAATTATTGGATAACTGGATAACTTTGGTTAAAGAGGAGGTGGCTTGGTGAGGAATCTGAACCCAAAGGCTGGCTTCTCTCTTCTCATCTCTGTGGTCCTGGTTCCAAATTGGGGAAGCACCTTCTGTTTTCAGGATAGATGAGACAATAATGGATAGAAGTACCTAGCACAATTCTAGGCATTTCTGTATTCCTGCCAGAGTCTAACACTCTCCTAGAGACTCTGTGTGGCGTGCCCTGACGGCTGCTGGCTACTTTTCCCCCCTCAACTAAAGATTCTGCCCCATTATTTACAGCTTCTTGCATGAGGAGGGAGGCACCAGGGAGCATGGTATGCTGGAAAGAACAAGGGCTCTGGAGTCAGGTGACTCACTAGCCAGCTGAGGAACTTGGGTTAAGTTCCTCAGCATCCGTTTTCTCATCTCTAAAACAGGTTATGATGGCATCTGCTTCACAGACTGCTGTGAGGCTCATCTGGGATGGCGTACCTAAAAAGGATTTGCCATCTGTAAAATTTTAGGTAAATGGTAGTTACTAATAAAACTGATTGTTCCTTAGAAACTTTAAGTTTTTAAAAACCACGATGTGTGA